CTCAAATAAGGACCAAAATTGCAATAATCGAGAAAATCAGCTATACTTTATGATAAAAAAAAATGTAATTTACTGTATATTTGATAATAAAATTTCAAAAAGTAGATGAGTTAGAGAAGTATTGTTACTACAAATAACTAAAAAGATATAATATTAGTCTTTAATGCATACGAATATGCGAATATCTATTTCTAATTAAATTCATGTTAACAGATTTGAAGTTATCGTATCCAAAGATGATAGATGTAGCAGTGCCAGCAAATATGGTTTGTGGGTTGCAAGATGTGGAGTCAAAAGCTGCATGATAATTGATAATACTTGTATTATGCCTTACTATACAAGATCGAATTGCTTATAGGAAAAAATAAAATATAGATTTGTAAATAAGAAGTTTGCGAAATTTGCAACTTTAACTTTCACACGTCAATGTATGTTTTAAGACTTGTTGTAACATGATGAGCATAAGCTATATATGTAACGTGTCAAGAAGTAGCGAGAATAATCAAACATACACGCACACATAAAAAGACACAATATTTATGTGGTTGATATGACCTACGTCCATGGGCATGAGAAAATATTCTTATTCACAAGCTTGAAATCAGTATTACAGTATAGTACATAACCATTGAAACCCTAGCTATCAAGCATTATATATATAGGCAAGTACAATGTAAGCCCTAGCTAAAACCGTGTTAGGCCTCTATTCCACAAATTGATCGACAACCAAGCTAATAATCTGTTGGCTAATGGTCAGGTGATGGTCACCGCCTTTGATCATTTGATGGTTTTCAATTTATTAAGTCACGTTTAACGGTCTCCACATTCACTTGTGTAATACACCAAATATTAAAAAAAAAAAAAAAAAAAAAAAGAATCCTGCTTCCCTTGCTAATTTTCTTCGTATGATATTAACTCATGTAAACATCTACTAAGTCCAAGCAAAGCTGGAACTTCTCAATGGGCAACAAATTTGTCAACATATCAAATGGATTCTCCTTGGTGAAAACCTGTATTCTTCCAAAACATCCCTAATGAAATCTAGCCTCATATCAATATGTTTGGTCTTTGTGAAATAGACCGATTCTTTGCATGATACAAAGCACTTTGATTATCACAAAACAATATATGTTTCTCCACCTTCAAACCAAGACTCTGAACGATAACATGTAACCATATGCACTCCTTTATTCCATTCATTAACCGATACTCTGCTTCAGGTGTAGACAAGGCATCAATAGACTTTAATGTTGACTTCCAACTTATAACATAGTTCAATAAAGTGAAGATATAACACGTCAATGATCTTCTTCTCATCATATCACCACTATGGGCTATGGCCCGAGTCTGCATATCCAACCAAGTCATTATTTTGAATTTTAGCATCGTACACCAAGAAAATGTTAGTCATTCCCTTCAAATATCACATAATCCATTTGATTTGATTGCTTCCATGTGAGCTTTCCCCAAATTACTCATAAACTTGATTATCACATTAACTTCATGAGCCAAATCAGGTTTAGTACAAACCATAAAATACATGAGACGTCCAACAATACTTGAATATTGGACCATACTCATGTAATCTTTTTACTCATTTGTGGTGGGTATAGTGCTTTGATCAAGTTTAAATGTGTTGCCAAAAAAGTTCAAACATGTTTGGAATGATCAATATAGAACGATTGTAACACTTTCTCAATGTAGTTTTGTTGAAAATGTATATCAACATGAGTTACAAACTCCACATGATCTTTTACGTGAGTACTTGCGGTCACCCGGAGGGTATACAAACTTTGCTTATGACACAACCGATTCGTGAAAGAACTGTTCTGATACTTATCACAAAGTTTCACTCAAAGTCTAATAGCAGTCGTTTGATCGACAACCTCTCGTAATACTTCAACCGTCAAACTTTAAAATATAGCTTTTTTAGTGTATCATCCATGTCTTTCGGTAATTTTTCTTCTCTTTCCAAAGCAACTTCACAACCCTGTTGAACCAGAAAATCCCTCATCTTCACCTTCCATAATAACAAAGTCGTTCAAACATTAATTTTCTCCAACTCAAATTTAATCGATAAAGCAAACCGTAACTCTGATACCACTTTTCAAACGAGAATAATCACACACACACATACAATATTTACGTGGTTCGGTCGATATGAACTACGTCTATAAGTAGGAGAGGTTATTCTTATTCATAAGCTTGAAATCGGTATTACAATACAATACAAAAACATTTAAAGCCTAGCTATCAGCCATTATATATAAGCAAAATACAATGCAAACCCTAGCTAATAGCAGTCGTTTGATCGACAACCTCTCGTAATACTTCAATCGTCAAACTTTAAAATATACCTTGTTTAGTGTATCATCCATGTCTTTCGGTAATTTTTCTTCTCTTTCCAAAGCAGCTTCACAACCCTGTTGAACCAGAAAAGCCCTCATCTTCACCTTCCATAATAACAAAGTCGTTCAAACATTAATTTTCTCCAACTCAAATTTAATCGATAGAGCAAACCGTAGCTCTGATACCACTTTTCAAACGAGAATAATCACACACACACACACACACACATATATATATATATAATATTTACGTGGTTCGGTCGATATGAATTACGTCTATAAGTAGGAGGGGGTACTCTTATTCATAAGCTTGAAATCGGTGTACAATACAACACAAAAACATTTAAAGCCTAGCTATCAACCATTATATATAAGCAAAATACAATGCAAACCCTAGCTAAAATCGGGTTGGGCTTCTATTCCATTAGCTGGCCAACAACTAGGCTAATGGTCTTATCAATTGATGGTCCACCAACAAGTAGTCAACCGACTAATGGCCAACAAACTAGTGGTTATCCAACTACTTTTCATTCAGCTACCGGTCATCCAACTACTAGCCAACTAGCTATTGGTTAGCTTGTTGATGATTTTTAATTCTCAAGTCACATTTAACATTTTGTGTTATTTTTCATGTAGTACCTAGGGGGACTTTAAAGGCCATAATTTGTACATATAACTCATGTTAGACATGTGCAAGCAATCAAAGAAGACGAGAAAAACTGATACAAAGAATTTACGTGTTTCGGTCGATATAACCTATAATACTTATAGTAGAAAACTCTAATATGTCCATATCGTGGGGTCTCTACCCGCACACCCTATAAGATAAGTGTTTGTCGTGTACGACTTCAGATATAACGGCCCCCAACCAACTCCAAACACTTATTCATTCAAAATTGCCATTCCCGTTACTTCTTTTATTAATCCGTTTTGATATGGACATGTATCTTTTAGAGTAAATTACACTAATGGTCCCTATAATTAATTTGAAGTAAATTGCATGTTTGGTCACTAACTTATTTTTTTAACTCGGACGGTCCTTACTATATATTTTTGTTACACGTTGGGTCCTACCAGAAGTAAAAATACTATTTTGCCCTTAATGATATATTTTTATTTTTTTAATTCTTTTTTTATTATTTCAACAATTATTAAATAAAATAAATTATTAATTATTGTTTGCCCACCCCACCTTAAACTTCTTCCCTTCTCCTAAATGCACAAAACTACTCAGTTTTCCAGCACCAGCTCAGGTCACCATCTTCAACCACATATTCGATACACCATAAACTCAACACAAACTACCTAATATTCAACCATAAATCTGAAATACATCTAAAATCAAACGTGCAATACAAATCCAAAAAAAATCCAATCTGCAACTCAAATTTAAATCCAAAATCAAACATAAAATTTAAATCTAACATGCTACTCAAATCTAAATCCAATATCAAATTTGCAGCTCAAACTCAAATTAAAACACCAAAATCCCTCTGGCAAAAACAAAACAGAGATACAATCCAGATGCGAAAATCCCAAATACAATCCTATATGAAAATCGATTAAATAAAGACAAGCCTAGGCAAATCAATATACAAACAAACGAACCTCCATCTACGAGTCGACCCTAGCCTCCATAGCCAGTAAACAATTTACAGATCGAACAATTTGTAGATCGAATGAACCCTTAGGTGGTTAATCTTATAGGTAATCAAATCAAACAAGCTTTAGGTGGCGCTTTAGGTGGTGTTTTGGTGTTTGGATTGGTGGTCGGATTCGTGTGAATTACTTCTAGTGTTCGTCCAACTTACTTAGATTGGTCATATGTAATAGAGAAGAAGAGAGTAAAGTTGTGGGTAAGCCGACTACAGTCTTTTCTGGCAAGGTAGAGGATGACAGGACCAGAAGGCGACTTCACTGGAGGTGAGAGTCGGTTATGAGTGTTCAGAAAATCCATCTCTAAGAAATCATTTTTCGGATTAGGGTAAAAGGGTTTTCAAGGACAACTTGTTGCTAAGCTTCCTTACATAGAAGGGGTGGCATAGGCGGTGTACATTGGTGTTGGGATCAACAGATGCTGGTGGTGATGATTTTGCACCCGCCAAGGATGTTGGAAAAAAAAAAAGGTGTCGACGAGCTAAAGGGTGAGAGAAGAGATTAACCGGAGGTAGAAGACTTGTGTGTGGGATCTCTCTCTCTCTCTCCCCCTCCAACATCATAAAACCTTACATCTCCTCCAACCCCACCTCCACCATTTGCCACCATCATCGCCCTCCTTTGCCGACTTCTTCGACAACGAACCCCCACCACGAACCAGTGCACCGTTCTTTTTTCTCCCCACCACTACTACACCTTATTCTCCCTGTGCTACAACAATATATATCTCTCTATACAACCACCATCATCCACCAAAATGAAAACGACAATGACGGCGACACTAGGTACTAGATTAGAGTAGTCATTGTTGTAATCTCTCTCTATTTCTTTCTCCGGCGATGTCGAACCTTTGGCGAACTAGGGTTTTAAAAAAACGTAAAACCTTCATAGTGTAACCTATTAGACATGGACTTGCAACGCTTCAAAATCAAAACACGAAAACATTTTGAATGAAAAAATAAAAAATAAATAAATAAAGACCAAATGTGAAATTTGGGCAAATAAGGACTATTTCATTGATTCGTTCAAATCGGTATAATAATGGATAGAGTAGAGAGTACAAATTGAGAAAATGTTGATCTGTGATTGCTCGGTGGTACTATTAGTTTATATCCACGTGTCCAGGTCCTATCAACCAACGCTATACAAGAATTTGCTGTATCGAACACCATTACAATTTACAATCCATTTCCTTGTGATCTAAAGATCTAATCTAGAACCCTAGAGAAGTTTGTGTTTGCTGACTTTGCTCCTTCCTTCGATTCCATCTCCAAGATAAAGCATGAGTGAACCTGGAAAAGATGGCAATCAGCAGTACTACCAGCATCACCAGGATCAGCAACAACCGCCGCCGCCTCATGAGTACGGTACTTTCCAGGGCGTTCAAAACTATCCTCCTCCTCCGCCGGTAATCGGCTTCCCTCAGCCTGTTCCGCCTCCCGGATCATCAGGTGGACCTTCGGTCAACCCTTATGTTCATGGCTACCAGGCTGTCCCAGGTACGAATATGTCAAACCCCTTTAGATCAAAGTCAAATACCTCATCGATACGGTTGTTTCTTACCTTTTACCTGAAAATTCGCAATCTCTTGTTTACTCGATCAAGTCAAACAAGTTACAAATAAAACAGAATTAGCTCCTATATCTCGCAAAACGCAATGTGGATGTTCGGACTTTTACATCGAATATCAAAGAGCTACTCTACTAAATTCTTCGATTCAATTATGAAGCATTGTAGTGAACTATGAATTATTCACAAACTATTAGATGTAAATAATTGTTTTCTGATGAAATCGTATGAAATGTACGTTTGCTGTCTAATTGGCCTATTGAATGGGAATTGATTCCAATTTTGATCCCCTTTCTGTTGCTCTACTTATATTTGATTATTCATTGTGCAACACATCTCCGATCTAATGTCTCTTGTGACTTAAACCTGTGAGGTTTTTGCAAGGTTATAAATATAATAGTTTCCTACCATGATTTCTTAAATTTGATTTAGATATTACTGATCAGTCTCCCATCTTGGGGGAGTTATAATCATCACATCTAGTTCAACCCTAAGTAGATCTTAATGTCTGAACCTCCCTTTTTTGAGTTTAAAAGCAGAGGTGTTGTTGACAGATATCATCATTGCTAAAAAGCTCAGTTGAGTTGGATGATAAGTTATGTTAACATTCTATATGATGTTGCAGGTTATGCAGTTGCTGAAGGAAGACCTGTAACTGTGAGAGAAGGTCGCCTTCCTTGCTGTGGTATTGGTATTGGATGGTTATTGTAAGTTGCAAAATTTCTCCTTTTGTTCCAATTGTATAAAATAATAACATGTCATAAAATAAAAGAGGAACTAAACAAATACAATAACATAGGTTTTACTTTCAAATTAATTTATTGGTGGCTTTTAAGGGATTCGATAAAAGTTTACTATTTGTGAGAATGCAAGCATGCCTACCTTTATGAAGCTTTTTCTTGACTATTGCTTCAAAGGCAATTCTTACTTTTTTCTTTTTGTATGTGATAAAGCCTTTTTGTTTAGCCTTTTTAAAGTTAGTTACTACATAGTGGCTCTTGTTACTCATGTTATCTACTAATAACCACTATGAATATTTGATCAAATATTTATACTTTTATTTGTTTTTATTTTAAATTGTATATTTGTATGTCTGAATCATAGTATGGTGTATTTTTTTTTTTCTTTCCCTGAAGGTTCATTGCTGGTTTCTTCTTTGCAATGATCCCCTGGTATGTCGGAGCATTCGTTTTACTGTGTGCTGGATATGATGAACGCGAGAAACCAGGATATGTTGCATGCGTAATTGCTGTAAGATTTATACAATTTTATTAAAAGCAATTTTCTAAATTGTTTTATTAAAAAAAATTAGATCATTATTTTAGTAACATTTCCTTTCCTGTTACAGGCTATTATTGGAACAATTGCTGTGATTTCTGGTGTTGCAAACATTTGATGTCGGTTGTAGAATGGATATATGAAATCAATCAAGTTGTTTTTTTTTTTTTTTATTAAAAATTTAATTTAAATGGCTGTATTATGGTGTGAATTTGTATGGGTATCCATCCAGACTGAAGTTGATTATTGTATTTGCCTGTGTATAAACATGACCCGTATACAAAGTATTATGTCTAGTATTTCTAATTGTAACTTTTGTAAGTTTGTTAAGGAATCATATATTTAAATAGCCATTTGGGGGAGTGTTATTGTTCTCATTTTTTCTCGATTTGTGTAACAGTGTTTTTTTATATGGAACTAGTGTTTGGACCATCCGTGCGATGCTGTGGAAACTCGGTATGTTGAAAAATGCAGCTAGACACCATATATATCATGGAGACGATTAAACCATATAAAGTGAAGCAAAAAAAAAATATCAAATTAAAAGTTGGATACAAACAATTTTTTACGGAGGAGACGACGAAAATAAGACTTGAAAATCTATCCTAAAAAATGATAAATAAAAAGATTATTAAAAACTTATGTAAGGGGCAAAGAAATATAGTAAGAGACCAAATGTTAATATGTAAAATATTAATAATATAACTTTAAAACTATAAGAGATAAAAACTATTAAATAAAAATTAATTGAATGAAAAAGTGTAATCTAAACATATAATACGATCATCGCAAACTTATATATATGTACATATAAGTTTTCACCATGAGTTTTACAAAATAATAGAATTGATAAAAGAAAAAATATGGGTAAAATGAAAGTCAATACCCAAAGTTAAAATTAAAAAATAAAAGACTTAGAAGAAAAAAAAAAAAAGTATAACACAATAAAATATTTAACTGGCAAACACGTGACTTTCATTGGACTTTTTAGAAATTAGAGAAATTTTCCTTACCACATGATTTACCACATCTAACACTTTTTTATATCCTACGGTCAACATTCATTTTGAAATGAATAGTGATTTGCCTCACAAACCAATTTTGGCAATTAATATATAGATAATATGTAACAATGAATCATTTTAGGATGGAAAGTTTATCAGAAACATGTTTAATGGGTTGAGATACATGCGCATGATTCGTGTGAATTGCATAGGTTGATAAGAAACTAAAGTTATAACGTCTGTCATTTAATACAAAAATACATCCAAAACTTCGGATTTTTTTTTAATTTATTTAAACCATTGGTGTAGTTTAGTATTAACGTAACAAATAGTTATCAAAATACATAGTACAAATACATTCAGGACTTGAGGACTTGAGTTGGGTATTACAAAGTTTCTTACAAAATATAAAGCGTACACACTAAACTAGACTCCTCCATGATAGCTTTCCCTCTATTTGGATCGCTAAGCCAACACTCCTAAAGTAAGCTAAAACTTGGTTAATAATAATAACTCAACGATATCATTTCACATAACATTAATGAATGTAGGATGATGTCAATGATCAACTCTTCATCGAAGTTCACATTCAACTTCATCAAGCAATCCACATATCACTGCATCTTTTACAAGTGGATCGTGATGGACTTTCCATCATTCATTTTGGTTGTGATCATAGAAGCAATGATCTCATACATTTCCTGCCGAGCATTTTGATGGTACATTTCCATCAAATCTTGGTGTATTTCGTAGGGCAAGAAGTCAGCAGTCATGGTAGCAATCATAATGCACGACACATTTGTTGCATCTTTCTCATGAACCCTGTATTCCTCAATTTGTTCGAGAGTAGCAGTTTGTTCATCAATCTCCTTCAACTCTATATCGAGAACATATTTTTTGTCCTCGTAGCGAAGGGTCATACAAATGTTTCTTATCCAATCGTTAAAGTTTGTGACAACCCAAAATTATTTCCGTCATTATAACCCATTTCCGTTAAATAGAATATTCTATTTTATAAAAGTTCCGTTAATTTAGGGTTGACAAGATAAATAAATGTTTTATTTTATTTGTATTTTATGTTAATATTATCGTAACAAAATAAATAAAACTCGTAAATTTCATTTCCATTTAGTTGGAAAAAGTTTATTTTTATTACGACCATTTAACCGGGTAAAAAATTTAAACCTCGTTAAACATAAGTATCGGGTAGTCGAATACCGGGTACAACACCCAAGCCTTATATAAAGGAGGGTGGGCATTCCATAGAAACCTTTTACCATACTAGACCCACTTTCTCTCTCTACTCTCTCTCCTCAAGTCCGATTTCATCCAAAAACCACAAGTTTCCGCCTCCAAAACGTAAGTTCTCTTACCCTAACTTGTTCTAGACATCATTGGTTTGTGTTTTAACCCAAAAATCATGCAAGAAGGCTGAAAAAGAGGAGTTTACGGCCTAAGAACCTCCTTAGGCCGTAAACCCCTAAAATGTTGTCAAAAGTGCCAAATTTCTTCCCTTTAAGCTTAGAAACAAGTTTTGGACTTAACCTAGGAGTGTTTGAACCTTGAATGAACAATTTTTAGGGCTTGAAAGAGGGTTTACAGTCCAAGCACATGCTTAGACCGTAAACACCCTCTAAACATGCAAAACAAGCCCAACAACACTTCCAAACCCCATTTTAGGCTTTGATATGACTTAGGGACTTGCTATTTCGGCCTTGGAGCACCTAAATCTTGTCAATTGAAGGGAAAACTAGATTTTACGGCCCAAGCATATGCTTAGACCATAAACTCCCTTAAAACATGCCAAATGAGAGTTTAAGTCCCCTAAAGAGCCTTATACCTTCACTAGAACTTGTTAGGAATGAACCAAGGGCCTTGTAATCAAAGAATGGAGGTGTCCAAGAGTTTACCACCGTAAACCATGGGGTTTACGACCGTAAACTCCCAAGGAGTGGTCCTTGGACCGTAAACTCCAAGGGAGTACACTTTTGGAACCTTAAACACCCCTATAGCCTTGTATATTACCTTAGAACCACTTCTAGAATCACATGAGGCTTGAAAACACTCAATTTCACCCCTCCCATGAGTTTACGGCCGTAAACTCATGGGGGATGTGGTCTCCCAACCGTAAAGTCACTTAAGGTGAGTTTTTGAAGAGTAAACTCCATGGTGAGGTCTTATAGTCTTTCCTTGCAACCCATTAGCCTTCTAGCACTCAACCATAGAACTTTTATTTACACTAGGATGTCGCTATGTGTTTATTTAGAGTCTAAATCACTAATTACTTGTAAACATATGTTTCCATATGTTATTAGGGTCCTAAAGGGTGTTCAAGTCTTTACTTGACACTAAACGCTCATCCGACACTTCCACCCGATCAACTCATTGCAGGTGAGTTCATACCCCTTAATGAACCTTTCTAAATGTTTTTACATGTTTTAGGAGGGGAATACAAGTGCAATACTACAAGTTTTATTATCAAATCATATGTGATTTACAATTTATCATCAAAAAGAGATTTCTCTACACTTATAGATACTTATCAATAATGTTGTGTTAACTAATTATCAAATGCGTTTTCAAGGTTAAATTGTTATTAAACTATTTTCAAAGCTATGTTTCAACTACTTTCCTTTTTAAAATATATCTACACTAATATACTTACATAAGTAAGACTTGAAGGACTTAGGACCGATAGCTCGCCTTATTTCCTGTTCTTGTTTGATGTGGTCTTAGGGTATTGGTTGTTCGTCCGACTATCATTGATTTCTTAGTTATATATTATATATATTTGTGCTAGATATGAAAGTTCTCATCTTATTCATTACCTTTGTTGATCAGAGGCAGAAATTCTCACACTCTAGTTAACTATAATAGGTATAGTTAAGGCTATCGCTCGTTACCTCTACTACTACTATACTCACTATAACTGTTAATATTACAAGGTAATGCAAGTATAAGAGAACACTCTACTTACTATACTAAAAGTCTACAATACAAAAGCATAAGAGAATTCACTAATACAAAGTATAACACTATACCTCTATAATGCACTCTACCGCGCTTACACCATGTGACCAGGGCTTCCCGGAAGGAAAGCAACACTACATGTATAGATCTATATCGAACTGACACTATTACATCCCAACTGTTAACTACAGTCCGAGCAGACTAGGCCTAGGGATGGCACTACATCACTTCACTACGAATAACTGAGAAGGTCATCGGACACTCTATTATCATACAGTTGGTCACATGAAGGGTTACACTATATCCAAACAAATACACTAAGACTTAAAGTCTAGGCTAATATCCCGAAGTAATTAAAGATCTATTAATAACTAAAGTTACACCACTACTACTGTTAGGAGGCATAACATTTCTTCAACTATGTTACTCACATGAGATTTATTACTATATTTTTTTTACAATTGAATGTTTCAAAGATAATACTCTTACACACTCAAAGGATTGATTTACAAATGTACCTCTCTGGAAAATATAGGATTTTCTAGGGATTTCTACTACTCATAAACATAAGTTTCAGTTTTTGTATTACATGTTCGTAAAACTCTTTACACAAACAACGACACTAAAATCTTATGAACTCACCAGCTTTATGCTGATACTCGTTTTCAAAATAACTTGTATCCTCAGGTCAAAGATAGACAGGTACTGGTGCAACTTTTGGAGAAGATGGAGCACATACAAGACCCATCTTTTCTTTTGTTATACTTTCGGTGTCTATTAAACTATACAGAACACATTTGTAATTATTATCACTATATTAATGAAATGGTTGTTGTTTCTTGTTTTTACTATTATGCAATTGTAATGATACTGTACATGACGTCCTCCACCCCAGAACATATTCCGCCGTTCTCGGTTTTGGGGTGTGACAAAGTTTGACCCACCGAAGATAGTTCTTCCAACCAAGTTCATGAGGGAGAATGAGCTAGAAGGGTTGGAGCTTGAAGCATTGTTTGGGATAGACATCTGAAAAGAAAAAGAACAAAGTTTAGATTAGATGAAAATCCTTAATATTACACCCAAATGAAATATTAAGGTTAGGACCCAACACAATATTTTACAATTCAGAAGAGGGATGCCGTAATCCAATTGCAAAATATTTGAAGGTAAGTAAATAATGATTTACTAATTTCCACCATGAAAAACGAAAATGATTATTAAGTTTTAATTGGATTAAAATTCCTA